GTCCATTTTAAAAATTTTGAATCATGAACCAGTTCATAATCTTTTAAGACTGTATACTATCAAGCAAAGTTGGTTCGATGCAGCTAAGGATCAGTCTTAAATTTATCTTTTAAAATATGTATTTAGAAAATAATTTTTTTAATATAATTAAGAAAAATTACAACCACATAGTCCAAATTCATGGTCCAAATTCATGATTCCACGTATAATGCATATTACAATTAAATATTAAAAAAATTCAGATTACATACACCCACTTCTGACTGGTGATATTGGCGCAGATGGCCAACTAACGACAGGTGAGGGTGTGGGGCAATTTGATGACATTCCTTTTATGTTATCAAGAAGACAACACGGGGATTAGTAAAGTTTCAAACTTTCGGCTAAATGAAATTATTATGTTAATAACCTTTTCCTTTTTTTTTTCAAACATTATGATGATGTTGGGTATTGATGTTGGTCAAAAAACGTGTTATACACTGTCATGATGTTTGGATCAATATTAAATCATAATATTTAATTTTAATCATTTTAATAAAAAGTAAAATATGTAAAATTTATATTAATGTAACTGAATTTTTATTCATTTATAAAAATATTTTAAAATTAATTTTTATTTCTATATACTTTTAAAAATTATATATATATATATATATCTAATTATTTATACAGTCCAATAACTCAATCTTATGTTTGATCTTTGGATTTGAGATGAATGGATAAATATTTAGACAAGTATCTAGGATTGAGAACCACCCTAATGGTATTGGTCATAAAATATTTGGACCATAGACGTCCATACTACCCTACAATCGGTTCAAATCAAAGTTGTTCATATTGTACGGGATAATATTTTGATTTTTTTTTTAAAGAATTATAATGTTAGTATCAATTATTTTATTATATTATTTTAAATTTTTTGATTTAATACAAATATATTTATAAATATACATAGACTTGTGCATAATATTATTAATAATAATTTGCATTATAAATATACAATATATTCAAAAAATAAATAAATAAATTTAAGAGTATAAGAAACAATATTATTAATTTATCATGATATTTTTAAATAACTAATCTAATCATATGATATTTAAATGAAATTTTTTGTGTAAAAATTTTTTAATATAAAAACCAATAGATGAGAAAAAAATTAACTTTGGTGGATGGTTAAACTTTAGAGAAGGAGTACAAATATTTTTTTTAAAAGAAATTAAAATATTTATGAATTTTAGTTTGAAAAACTAGAGTGTAGAAGAAATAAGTTGTAGTAAAAAATAGAAAAGCTTAACTTTTAAAGGTTGTTTTGTTCATTGGTTTTATTTTATTAAGTTAAAAATAATTAAATAATAAAATACAAATTAAAAATTAAAAATTAAAAATTATAAAACATATTCATATTCATATACCAACCAAAACAAATTAATTTACAGAAACTAATCGTAAGTCAACTAAAATAAACTAAAATAATAAGTATTTTTTGATATCAAATTCAGTATAAAAAATCACTTTTAAATATATATATTTTTTATACAACTAAAGTGCACTTATTAGTATGATTAATATCAAAATGAAATTAATAAGATTGGTTCAAACCCATCGGTCCAAAACGGTCCACATATGATCTGGACGGTTAAAAACCTCCAAGTATAATTAATGCAATAAGGTTATCGGGGCACTGAGCATTTCCTTTAGAAATAAGCTCTATTAATAGCTAATAGCAATTTCTTATCTTGATGTAGAACAATTACACAGCGCAATGGCTTTTGATTCTTAAGTTTCCCAAAGCTGCTTTATGTCTGGTCTAATCATTTTTCAGTTAATTTAAAGGCTACATCTGGGAAAAGCAACAATGAGTCCAACAGATTTAATTTTGCAACCATTGCCAACAGTGGAAACAATAAAATTTTGTTTGGGGTGAGAATTATAGTCAATATGAAAGTTCCAAAGCTATGGCAGAATAATGCATCACTATACTGTTATGGATGTTTCTCACTAATGATAAGACTTTCCTGCATCAACAATTAAAATTCCTCTGGTTTATGCATTGAAATAGCATGACAGAGCTATTGTTTGTCTTATGCAGAGACACCACAGTTTAGAGCCATGGCATTTTACTGTACCGTTATTAGTCTTCAGGGATTCTGTTCACCTAGCTTATAAGTATAAATGAAGATCTGAGAACATGTGCAGAACACAGGAGATAGCACATAAAGAAGAGATTTGTTTTTCTTCTCTTCTTTTTGCCCCAAAATCTAAAAAGGGAATTTGCTTATCGGAATCTAACATTTTTTAAGAGAAAATGATTTTACTACTCATTATTTTATTTGATAGATTCTGGATAAAGTTAGATTTATGTGTTTGTTTCACGATAAATTGATTGAGAAATGTAAAATTATTTAATAATTTTTTTATTATATTGTTTTTAATTATATTTTTATTTGATTTCATGTGAATAATACATGACATGTAAATTATGAAAATAAAATTATATGTTAAATGAATAAATAATTTATATGTTAAATTATTAAATAAATAAATAATTATATGTTAAATAAAAAATAAAAATGATATAAACTATATATCCTCAAGTAAACATCTTTAAATTCATGTTAAAGATCAACAAGTATTCTTTGTTAACGAGGTAATCTCTTTCTTTCATTCGATTTTGTACTTTAATGTTTTTATTACCTTCAATTTATTAAATCATTGCTCCAAATATGGTTTTTAAACATTTCTAAGAATGAGAACGGAGTAAATATCCACTATTTTTGAGATATTTATATTTTAATATTTATAATATTTGAATTTTTTAAATATTTATTTAAATTTTAATATTACAATCTAAATTCAAATCTATTTAAATAAGTACTATTCATTTAAATATTTAAATTTGTTAAAATATTTATTTATTTAAATTTTTTATCAAAATATAAAATAAACAAGAATTTGATTTAAAATTCAAATTCACTTTTAATTAATAATAAATAATTTTTTTTAAGATTCAAAACCTTCTACAAATATAAATTTTTTTATATTTTATATATATAAATGAATAATAAATTTGAATATGAATTCAAATATCCATTATTATTTATTAAAATTTAAACGAATTTAAATATTAGATATTCAAAAAATACTATCTATATTCACTCAAAATCAATCATGAATAATAAATTTTTTATCCCAATCTATCAATTATCCACTTATTACTATTTAAATTTGACATAAATAAATCAAATAATGATAGATATTAATTTATATATTATTTATTGCCAGCCTAAACATTTTTGTTCAGAATTATATATCAATGTACTTAAAAAAGTTGAAAATCATTATAAATAAAAAAAAAAAAAAGAAGAACCTAGATTGAGAACACTGATTCATATAAAAAATTTAAAAATATATAGATTAAGTTTACTTTAAGTGAACGTAATCCATTATCATAGTAGACAACATTGAACTAAATATCGAGACTAATAGACAATGTTTACTTAAGTATTAAAAAACAAAAGAGAATCCATAGAGAAAATGCATATTTGTTTAAAAAAATAAAAAAGATATAGAAAAAGTTTATTTTGAGTAAACATAATTTATTACCTAATGATGACGTTTACTAAATGTAATCTATATCATTATTTTAATTTTTAAAAAATTTTATTATTTACATTTTAATTTTTATAGCTTTTATTTTAAATAAATAAATTATTTATTTATGTAACCTATGAATTATTTTTGTATTTATTTAACATGTAAATTATTTATTTATTTAACATATAAAAATAACTTTATTTTATTATACAAAAAATTTTTTATTTTATAAAATGAAATAAATAACAAAAATCATATTTCATTTATAATTTAAGGAGATTAAAAAATATAATATAATTAGAATATGTAATTATGCAATTAAAAATTAAAAAAAAAAAACTTTCTCCCATAAATCTTAAAAAACTTATAAGGGAGGATGGTTTTTTTATTCTTTTTTACTTTTCCTTTTTTGATACTGTTAAAAATGTAAAAATACAGAGGCAAGAAAAATTTTATTTAAACTTAAAAAATCATATTATCTAAAACAAGATTTGGAACAAAAACCTTAAGTTTCCCTAACAAATACCCACTTAAAAGTTTTCTTGGTTACGTTATATTTTTCCTTTATTGAAAGAAAAAAGCAGAGGATAACAGGAAAGCAACGTCTGCTATTATAATCAGATGAAATGAAGAAGGCAGAGTTGGTTTTCATCTCTGCATCTGGCTGGCTTGGTCAGTGGTCACCTGATACCACCATGGAATTCCATTTCATAAAAATCCTTATCATGAGCCATCTTCCGGTTTCGTTTCATTTGAAAAATGAAAAGACGTGAGAATAAAAAATTTATTAATTTAATGACTAAAATTTATAATAAAATTTTCATTTTATTACTTAAACTTTATATATTATATATATTTGGTTCTTCCTACTAAACAAAACTTTTGAGTGGTGATAGCATTGCAAATAACTACATTGACTCATTAGCTACCGCCTCTGTTACTCCATGGATTCACTTTCTACCTTGACAACAGCCTAAATTAGAACCAATTATAGCCTCTTATATCTGTTCCTGAATCTGACGTCTAAACTAAATTAGATATCATGAATAAAATTTATTTTTATTTACTGTTAAAATATATTTAAATATAATAAAAATTCGAGATTTTTGTACCTTGTGAACCGGACGGATCTGAACAGAAGTTTTGAATGGCCGACTAGACCTGGTCCAGCCATAGACAGGTTTACGCAGGTATGATTCCATCTTATTTTTAAACCACTTCCAGACAATTTTCGCACTCACGAAATATAAGCATGGACTTGTTTGTCTGAACTCTGAAGTACCAGACATGCCAGACATGTAAAGCCTGACTTGTCTGTTTCTAGCACACAGGAGCAGATTGGGTATTGAATACGTCCAAAACCCCAGCAAAGCAATGACATCACACCCATGTTCCACTCGTTTACTTCTCAACCCTCAGCCTTTTTGAGCCTTGAAAACTACATCAGCCTAATCAAAAACCAAGACTACCATTTATTTATCTATCTTCATCTTCTTCGTCGCTGTTGCCCTGTGAGATCACTTTTCTTTTCTGCTCGAATGATGAAGAAAGCAGAGCTGGTGTTCATCCCAACGCCTGGAATGGGCCATTTGGTATCTGCAGTTGAAGCGACTAAGCTTTTAGTGAATCTTAATTCCAACCTCTCCATCACCGTACTCGTCATCAAGCCATCCTACAACCCAACAGTCAACGCCTACGTCGACTCTCTTACTGCCAATATGACCAGCCGCATCAAATTCATTAGCCTCCCTCTACCTGAACCAGACAAAGACGTTACTCCCCCTCAGTTAATGCGTTCTTTAGTTAAAACACATAGACTTCTCGTAAAAGAGGCCGTCAACAACATAGTTCAGTCCTCCAACTCGCCCCGACTCGCCGGGTTCGTTCTCGACATGTTTTTTGCTCCTTTTGTAGATTTGGCTAACGAGTTCGGCGTTCCTAGCTATGTGTTTTACACGTCGGGTGCAGCTTTTCTTGGCTTCCAATTTTTTATGCAAGCTCTTTATGATGAGCAAAATGTTAACATCATGGAGTTAAAAGACTCGGACACTGAGTTCGCCATACCTTCCTATGTCAACTCAGTTTCTACTAAATTCTTTCCCACTGTGATGTTCAGGCCTGAAACTTTTACTTTGTGCCATGACTTGGCCAGATGGATTAGAGAAGTCAAGGGTATAATGGTAAATACATTTTCGGAGTTTGAATCTCATGCGGTCGACTCCCTTTCTGACGGTAGACTTCCACCCGTTTACCCAGTGGGACCAATATTGAATCTCGAGAGCGCAAGTGGGGTATATCGGGATTCTAGTACAATCATGAAATGGCTCGACGAACAACCTCCTTCGTCGGTGGTGTTCCTTTGCTTCGGGACCATGGGGAGCTTCAGTGGGGATCAGGTGAAAGAGATCGCCCGCGCGCTGGAGCAGAGTGGGCAGCGATTCTTATGGTCCCTACGCCAACCCCCAGACCTAGAAAAGGGTATGATGGCAAGGCTGACTGATTACGAGAACGTGGCAGAGGTGTTGCCAGAAGGGTTCGTAGATCGGACGGCTGGGATTGGTAAGATCATTGGGTGGGCCCCGCAAGTGGCCATCTTGGGCCACCCCGCGACCGGAGGGTTCGTGTCGCACTGCGGTTGGAATTCAACGCTGGAGAGTATATGGTTCGGAGTACCGATCGCCACGTGGCCTCTTTACGCGGAGCAGCAGCTAAACGCTTTTGCATTGGTGAGGGATTTGGGATTAGCGGTGGAGATCAAAATGGATTATAGGAAAGGGGCTTCTGGGAGTGATGAGGCTGAAATTGTCAAGGCAGAGAAGATAGAGAGAGGAATCAGGTGCTTGATGGAGCAGGATAGTGATGTTCGGAAGAGGGTGAAAGAGATGAGCCAAAGGAGTAGGAAAGCTGTGGTAGAGGGTGGATCTTCTCATTCCAGCTTATGTCGTTTTATCGACGATATCATGTACAACATGCCATGAAAATTTTAATGTACATTACTGTTTTATTAATTATTGTCTCACCTTATTTTATTTTTGAGGAAAAAAAATATAAGGGAAATAGGTTGTTTTAATAATTAGAACGAATTTGATTAAGGAAAATTTGTGATTTTTTTTGAAATTTATATTTGCGAAAATGTGATTTTCATTTTTAGTTCATTGGTATTTAATTTTCAGAACAAGCTTAAATTTTTAATGGCATTTAAAAATTCATTTTTCTGTGATTTTTTAAATTTTGGGAAAAAAAATTATTTTTGTTTCAAATTGACTTGTATAAAAAATATATTTGTACTATTTTATCTTTTTAAAAATCAATGTATGTAAGAAATTTAATTTAATTTTTTTACAAACATTATATTGAGAACAAATAGTATAAATATTGTGTTTGTTGAAAAATTAATGTAATATTTGAGTAGCATTTTTTTAAAATTTTATCACTCAAATATTGCATTTGCAAGCTTTAAAATATAATGATTTTTTTAAAAACATATAAAAAATTTAATTATTATGTTTTTTTGAAAATAAATGCAATAATTGATTATTGTAAGTTATTTAAAATATTCAAATAATGCATTTTTAAGTGAAACACAGTAATTATTTATTGGAATTTTTTGAAAATAATTGATTGGTGCTTTTTTTAAAGTTAAAAGCAGTAATTATTTATTATAATTTTTTAAAATATGTGTATAATCAATTACTTCATGAAATCAACATAATAATTGATGATTAATAATTTTTTTTTTATAATTGGACACTTGAATACTACGTTTCTATGATTTGAAACATAATATTTGTTGATTATTTTTATTGACAAATTGGTACGTTTGTTATATAGTAAAGAACATTATAATTAAAATACATGATTAAGTAATTTAATTTTTTCCCCAACAAAACGTAAGAATCTAAAAATCCTATGCCATTAAGAATTATCTCTTACTAAAAATCCATATTTTATCAAGGTTCACACATTTCTCAAGAATTTAAAATTTTGTGAATTAAATGTCCCCTTAAAGTTAATTTTTTTTAAAAATAAAAATTTAATTTATTTAATTCATATAATTGTTTTGAAAAATTAACAATTTTAAGTTTAAATTTTAATATTTATAATTTTTTTATTTTTAGATTATAATCTTCTTTGTAAAAATTTTTTTTATCTATTTTTAACACATCAATTTTTATTTACCGTCTTCATTCCAAGATTCTTTTGTATAAATATATTTTTAATTTTTAATTTATTTTTAACCTTTTAACTTTTATGTAAATTTATCTAAAAAGGATATCCGCGCTTAAGTTTTGTAAAACATATAATTTTCAAAATCTAATCAATATATATGCAATTTGAGTTAATACTTAGTTGATAGGTTAAGATTGAATTAACATTAAATGTTGAGAATTACTTCTTTAATGTTTGATGGAGAGGATTTTATTCAAGATTATGTTGATACCAACTTATTCCATTTATCCTACATTTAGAATTAGTTCTATTCTATCTTTTGTTACAAGAATAGCCCTTATGGCAGTTATTAGAGACGGATTCACATATATAATTACGATATTTATGGACTCTTTTAAATTTAAAAAATTAAAAAAAATTTTAATTATTTTCAAAATCTTTTTTTGAATACCTTTTCTATTAATAAAATTGATAAATTCATTAAAAACATTATATATTTTTTAATTAAAATATACATTTCCCACAGTTTTTAAATCGGTCACAGGTAAACATGTTATATTTGAGCACTAGAGAGAGGCTTACTGCGATATTCATCTTCAGGTTCACAAGTGCACTCCACTTGTGCTAGGGATGGGAGTAGGAAAAAAAGAGACAGCAAACGTACAGGGAGTTCTTATAAAATATGTAAAATTTTTATTAATGTAACTGAATTTTTATTCATTTATAAAATATATTTTAAAATTAATTTTTTTTCTATATTATTTATACAATCCAATAATTCAATCTTATGTTTGATCTTTGGATTTGAGATGAATGGATAAATATTTAGATAAGTATCGTGGATTGAGAACCACCCTAATAGTATTGGTCATAAAATATTTTGGACCATCGACGTCCATATTACCCTACAATCAGTTCAAACCAAAATTGTTCATATTATATATCGGATAATATTTTTATTTTTTTAAAAAAATTATATATATTAGTATCAGTTATTTTATTATATTATTTTAACATTTTTAATTTAATATAAATATATTTATAAATATACATAGACTTGTACATAATATTATTAATAATAATATGCATAATAAATATACAATATATTCAAAAAATAAATAAATAAATTTAAGAGTATAAGAAATAATATTATCAATTTATCATGATATTTTTAAATAATTAATCTAATTATATGATATTTAAATGAATTTTTTTATGTAAAAATTTATTAAGATAAAAACAAATAGATGAGAAAAAAAATTAACTATGGTGGATGGTTAAAGTTTAGAGAAGGAGTACAAATATTTTTTTTAAAAGAAATTAAAATACTTATAAATTTTGATTTGAAAAAAATAGAGTGTAGAAGAAATAAGTTGCAGTAAAAAATAAAAAAACTTAACTTTTAAAGGTTATTTTTTCATTAGTTTCATTTTATTAAATTAAAAATAGTTAAACAATAAAATATAAGTTAAAAATTATAAAACATATTTCATGTTCATATATCGATTAAAACAAATTAGTCTACCAAAAGCAATCCAAATCAATTAAAATAATCTATATTTATTGATATCAAATTCTATATAAAAAATTACCTTTAAGTATATTTTTTTTATATAACTAGAATATAGATTAGTATAAATATGAAATTAATAAGATCGGTTCAACCCATCTGTCCAAAACGGTCCACATATGATCTGGACCGTTAAAAACCCCCAAGTATAATTAATGCAATAAGGTTATCGGGGCACTGAGCATTTCCTTTAGAAATAAGCTCTATTAATAGCTAATAGCAATTTCTTATCTTGGTGTAGAACAATTACACAGCTCAATGCCTTTTGATTCTTAAGTTTCCCAAAGCTGCTTTATGTCTGGTCTAATCATTCATTTTCAGTTAATTTAAAGGCTACATCTGGGAAAAGCAACAATGAGTCCAACAGATTTAAGTTCTCTGCTTGATAATTTTGCAACCATTGCCAACAGTGGAAACAATAAAATTTTGTTTGGGGTGAGAATTATAGTCAATATGAAAGTTCCAAAGCTATGGCAGAATAATGCATCACTATACTGTTATGGATGTTTCTCACTAATGATAAGACTTTCCTGCATCAACAATTAAAATTCCTCTGGTTTATGCATTGAAATAGCATGACAGAGCTATTGTTTGTCTTATGCAGAGACACCACAGTTTAGAGCCATGGCATTTTACTGTACCGTTATTAGTCTTCAGGGACTCTGTTCACCTAGCTTATAAGTATAAATGAAGATCTGAGAACATGTGCAGAACACAGGAGATAGCACATAAAGAAGAGATTTTGGATAAAGTTAAATTTATGTGTTTGTTTCACAATAAATTGATTGAGAAGTGTAAAATTATTTAATAATTTTTTTATTATATTGTTTTTAATTATATTTTTATTTGATGTCATGTGAATAATACATGACATGTAAATTATGAAAATAAAATTATATGTTAAATGAATAAATAATTTATATGTTAAATTATTAAATAAATAAATAATTATATGTTAAATAAAAAATAAAAATGATATAAACTATATATCCTCAAGTAAACATCTTTAAATTCATGTTAAAGATCAACAAGTATTCTTTGTTAACGAGGTAATCTCTTTCTTTCATTCGATTTTGTACTTTAATGTTTTTATTACCTTCAATTTATTAAATCATTGCTCCAAATATGGTTTTTAAACATTTCTAAGAATGAGAACGGAGTAAATATCCACTATTTTTGAGATATTTATATTTTAATTTTTTAATATTTATAATATTTGAATTTTTTAAATATCTATTTAAATTTTAATATTACAATTTAAATTCAAATCTATTTAAATAAGTACTATTCATTTAAATATTTAAATCTGTTAAAATATTCATTTATTTAAATTTTTTATCAAAATATAAAATAAACAAGAATTTGATTTAAAATTCAAATTCACTTTTAATTAATAATAAATAATTTTTTTTAAGATTCAAAAACTTCTAGAAATATAAAATTTTTTTATATTTTATATATATAAATGAATAATAAATTTGAATATAACTTTAAATATCCATTATTATTTATTAAAACTTAAACAGATTCGAATATTAGATATTCAAATAATACTATTTATATTCACTCAAAATTTATCACGAATTATAATTTGTTTATCCAAATTTATCAATTATCCACTTATTACTATTTAAATCTGACATAAATAAATCAAATAATGATAGATATTAATTTATATATTATTTATTGCCATCCTAAACATTTTTGTTCAGAATTATATATCAATGTACTTAAAAAAGTTGAAAATCATTATAAATAATAAAAAAAAAAACCTAGAATGAGAACACTGATTCATATAAAAAATTTAAAAAATATATAGATTAAGTTTACTTTAAGTGAACGTAATCCATTATCGTAATAGACAATGTTTACTTAAGTATTAAAAAACAAAAGAGAATCCATATAGAAAATGCATATTTGTTTAAAAAAAATAAAAATGATATAGACAAAATTTATTTTGAGTAAACATAATTTATTACCTAATGCTGACGTTTACTAAATGTCATCTATATCATTATTTTAATTTTTTAAAAATTTTAAAAATTTTATTATTTACATTTTAATTTTTATAGCTTTTATTTTAAAATAAATAAATTATTTATTTATGTAGCCTATGAATTATTTTTGTATTTATTTAACATGAAAATTATTTATTTATTTAACATATAAAAATAACTTTATTTTATTATACAAAATTTTTTTATTTTATAAAATGAAATAAATAACAAAAATCATATTTCATTTATAATTTAAGGAGATTAAAAAAATATAATATAATTAGAATATGTAATTATGCAATTAAAAATTAAA